TACCACGTGCGTCACTTTCATATCTTGTTCTTCTTTTTCTCTGGCCTCTTTGCATCACGCTATAGAAATAATAAGCCACGTGAGTACACTTCTTGTAGTGTCTCATTTCATTTTCATTTCATTCAAGTTTTCATTTCAAGTTTTCATTTGTTCCCGAAATCTAGCCGCTACTATAAAATTTTGTCCTAGGGGTAATATTTATAGCTAGGCTGAACCAACCAACTTCCGCTTCCTCTTCTTCGGTCCATACCATACGATTTTCTTTCTCTCTTTCTTTCTTTTATTGCAACTTTCTTCATTCAGTTATAACGAAAATGCAGTCATCTTTCTTTATAAACATTATTGGCTTATTTTGTGTCCACTTTTTTATCTCCTCCTCACGTCCATGACACGCTAAGCCTTCCACTCCTTGCACGTGGTTCGTCAGTTCTCACACCGTGCGAGCACGGGATGCGTGGATAGTTGACAAGAATGTTCCATACAATGGCAATGTGTCTACACTTTCGGCAAATGTAATGTGAAAGAGGCAGCTTCAACGAGCTGCTACGGAAGAAATGTAGTCATCCATCCAAGCGTCCGTCTTCCATCCATAAAAACAAACTTTTTTCCAGTAGTGGGATCTCTTACGCTGTGTGGATATCTTACAAGGGCTTACGTAGTCGAATCTTACCTAAAGTAAAGCGGAAACACGTGTCAATCGATGCATACGCATCGTTGAAAATCGCCGGCATCGCACCCCTACTTGTCCCTTTCCTTTTTTGACAACTAGTGGTGCCTGAATTGGTTTCCTGTTAATATTTTAATTGCGTTTGTTCATGACTGTACGATGCCTAATTAAGGAAGTAACCTGGCTATCGCGCAAGTTCGAGAGTCAGCAGAAGAAATACATTAGGACAACTAAGCTTTCTGACAGGAAAGGTAACAAAAACACGGGAACCTCTGAGGGTCAGCACTTGTTTAAACTTCGAGCTCATAGGAATAACACACAAATAATAAACAAACACTCACTGAAACAAAGACTTGGAAAGAAAGCATAAGAGAGGGCCTTGCAAGCCTTTTTGTTGTGTCAGCGAAGTTACCTTTTCAGAAAGGGTTTGCAACTTACAATGCATGCCCTCAATGCACAACAGAGTCGGAGATTCTTAATGTATTTTCGAGTCAGCTGTACCATTTAGGTTTACCAGTGTCCAGCTTGATGTCGTTTGTATATATGACGGCTTTTTTTCAGGGAAGATTTCGTTGTGAGTTTTCATATTTACAGGCTTTCTTTATTCTACATATGCGCATGGGAGTGAAGGTGAACTCTGAATAAATAAGTTCATGTAATAACGGCTGTCCTCAATCATAGCATTTACTTGAGCAATAGAATAAATTGCTGATTACGGTTTCATTATCATGACAAGTATTCTGACCAAGAAGCACCAGGCGAAGAAAGTCTTGACGATGGCTCGTGTCTCGATGTCATCTTTCTCTGCCGACTGCAGAACCGAGCAATGTGTCCTGGAGCACCACAACTATAGCACACAGGAGGTTGACGATATTCCTTTTTTTAACGTTGCGAAAGCGTGGGGGCACAGGTGCGTATTCTTTCGGGTCTCGATAGTATGCGGCCAGCTGTCGAGGATAACTGAAGCGGTGCTGGTACCTGGAGCCTTGGTAGTGAGTGCGCTGCGGCCTCGGTGGTAAGCCAGAAACGCAGTTGTACTCCTCAATGCATGCTGATTGCAATGAAAACAGGATGATGGTGCTGATCGGGAACCGGCAAGGATGTAGCTTTACACGGCGCGGCGCGAGTGTGTCGACTGAGTTCTTCACGTACGATCTCACGTATTGCTGACGCAAGATCGGAAGGCGCGTAGTTGCCAACGCTTGCTACCGTGGTCACATTCGGTAGTCGACCAAATTTAGGAGAGATGCGCCTTATTTTTGGCGTCTCAAAAGTGCGAAAGTGCCGTATGACATCGGCTACTGTACCAATGCTGTCTTTGCCGATGAGGAAGTGATAAACATCCTCTGCGATTCCCTTTAACAAGTGGCCGACTTTGTCGTCCTTGTACATGCAAGGGTTGACGGTCTTGCATAGGATTGACTCGATATAGAAGAAGAAGAAAACAAGAAGAAGAAGAAGAAGAAGAAGAAGAAGAAGAAGAAGAAGAAGAAGAAGAAGAAGAAGAAGAAGAAGAAGAAGAAGAAGAAGAAGAAGAAGAAGAAGAAGAAGAAGAAGAAGAAGAAGAAGAAGAAGAAGAAGAAGAAGAAGAAGAAGAGATCGGCCTGGAAAGCGAGTTTCTAGCCTGCTACTCCTCACGAAGGTAAGGGGAAAAGGGAAAGAAAGAAGGGGGTATGATAAAGGGTGATTGTGGTCGTGCACGTTTAGCCTGAAACCTGGGCTCTTTGCAGCAGCATTCGTTCGGCTTACTTTCCTCTTTGCCACGGTGTCCCCGAAACACTCCTTGAATCTGGAAATGAAGCGTTCCCACGTCGTGAGGGCGTCCTCATGGTTCTCACACCATGTAAGCGCCGTGTCCCACAAGAAGAACACCATCGTTAGTCCAGCTGAACTGCCTGCGTCCCAGGAGTAGTATTTGCTCACACGCTTGTAATATTTGAGCCACTCATCCACGTCCTCGCCAGACTTGCCCCCTAAAGGACGGGGCTCTATCAGATGCTGATAGATATCAGATGCCGATAGGACCAGCCGCGGCTGAGGTCGGTAGCAAATAGGTCGCTCGAACTGGTGATGCAGGGCGGGCACCTGCGGGGTTCAGAGTTCCATCTTACCCATGAAACATTTCAAACACCAGTGGTAACAGGGGTAGCCTAGCAATGCGGCAGTTTCAGCGTAGCTCAGTTTGTAGGAGAACCGTGTTGCCTGGTTAGGTACCCAGCGCCTTCACCACAAAGCTGTTACGGTTAAATTGAGTTTAACTATGTTCATTTACAGGTGAGATCAAGCGATGATCGGCAATGATGGCGTATATAGACGTAGATGTAGATCGTAAAGTTTTGGCTCTGTATCCTAAAATTTGCCCAAGAATCGGGTAGCTGAACAAAATAAAAGAACATATATTTAAATACTAACAAAGAGCATACTGAAACATATAATTTTTTGTGAAATATTCTTAAGGAAAAAGTTGGATGATTTAGTTTCTATTGAGATAGCAAATAATGATTGATATCAAAGAAAATTTTTCTCTAGCCTACATTGATAAACTGAACACCTTTGGGTATTGAGTTTATTCAGTGAATTTCTTCGGCTGTCAAATAAAATCTTGCTCGGCCTCGCACACCTTCCCTTCGCTGTGCCCAAGGGTATGTGCACCTAGGGATAGCAAATTTGACGTTCTTAAAGCTAACTCAAAGATTCGTAATGGCATTTCTAGCGATATATTTCATAATGTTGAAAACTTTTGACAAGCGGTCAAAATGTTTTCCGCAGTTTCCTCTTCCCCACAGGAAGAACAAAGCGGGGAGGGAGTAAAGCCTGCTCCAGAAAAATAAAAAAAAAATTATGGAGGAATACGCTAACGTAATCTCCTGATTAAAACTTCCATACCTCTGTTATGGCATGAGGAAGTTCTTGAGGGTGTCATTAAATGATTGATCCAGGAAATTTTTTATAAATGATGTAGAGAATTCTCGCATCATCATTTGTCTCCGAAATCTCCCGGCTACTTATACTAAAGCTGTTGTAGGGGTAATATTGATAGCTAGGCTGAACCAACAACCTTCCTCTTTTTTCGTCCATATCATGGCCAGGCTCCTACCGCATCAATATTTATATCACAATTACCACAATTTAGGTTAAAGACTACACGATGTCCCCTATACCCGCATTTGATGTCATGTGTTGCCTGTCATTAACGCGGTGCACAAAAAGAAAAAAAACGAGCATTAAAATGTCCCTTCTCTCGTTGACTGATCTGCTACGGCTATTGCGCCTGTCGCACTCAGACCGCAAGTTTTTTGTGCACTTGTTATAGAACACTGATACCCACACCGCAAGTCGCTGGCACGCATTTTTGCCAACATGGTCAAGTAACGTTATCGCGTGAAAGAAACAAAGTGAAACAAAAATCACAAAATTGCCTTAAGTATTCCAACTAATTTTCTGCAAACGCAGCTTGTGAGAACTTCCGACGGGTTGTAGATGCACCGCTTTATTGTCGCATTGTGTATACTAATGCGACTGAACGCAGGGGCGGATGCATGGATAAACGCAGGGATGGACGCACGGATGGAAGTGTGGACGCACGAACAGACGCACGCACGGACGGGCGGGTGGACGCACAGATGGTCACACAGACGGACGCATGGACGAACGGCAGCAAGAACGAATGGACAGGACGGACGCTTCGCCCCACTCTCCATCATTCACTCCGTGGATATACGCTGCCATTTTTTTTACTGGTAGTTTTTCGTTGCATGTATGAAAATAGTTTGTATACAAGGTACGTTTTTGTGGTCAGAATAACAACTCAGAGAAGGAACTAGATGCATACCCTTTTGTATCACGAAGACACTGTAGGGAATTTATAAAAATTAGCTCTTTAGTAGCCAAAATTTGTCCTGCTCCTGGCGTCGTACCTTGACTAAACTCTTCCGGGTTGGGGAACGCCAGTATGCGCCAGTATGCACATGCAGTATACGCCAGTATGCACATCCAGTATATGCCAGAATGTACATTCAGTATGCGCCAGTATGCATAGCCAGTATGCACAGACAAAACAGAACGCGTGTCGCGTTCCATCTTTGCTGTGCATGCTGGCTCTTTAGTAACATAGAAAACTCGACTGCATGAAGCATATAGGCGAACGTAGCCTTGCCGAGGAAGCGAAACTCTTCACAAGGACGCCCCTTGCTGATAGTGGTTATCGGCGCCGTCGCACATACAACGGTCGGTAGCGAGCCGACGAACGCCGACAACGTTATCGGCAGTCCCGTGATTCCTAGCTAACGTCCGCGGCCCCGTCTGAAAGTGCCGCAGAAGCAGCGTGTCTGTCTACACGTTCGCCGTCATGCCAGATCACGCGGGGCGTCAAGCTCTGCACAGACTGTGCGACTCGGTGAGCGGCGCGAACTGGCGCCCGACGCGGTTCGAGGACGAGTTCACGTTGAGTCGCTACGCCTGCTGCACGTGTCACGTCATTCCAAGCACGACGGTGCTGCTGCCCTGTTCACATGCTCTTTGCGAGCAATGCCTGACTGGGTGTGTCATCCAAGATGGCGGGAGCGTCTGTCCTCTGGACGCCGAGCCCTTCTGCGAGGACGAATGCCTGCGGTGGCAGCTTCCAGCCAGGAAAAAGCAGAACCTGAAGGTCAGTGTCCGGCATCAACAGCCGCATTCCGAACAGCGAACGAAGCTGTTGTTTTAGACTAGTGAACTACCCCTGACGCTTTTGTCTGTCTTGGTTGTTTAAGCCAGGTGTTTACGGTGTGTTTATTTGGAACTCCACCTTTCTTAGTTTTCTGCCTGTAACTCACTGCATGAGGTTACCGCGTAAGGTATATTCTTTGCATGTGGACAGCATTTATAAATGACCGATGACATTATTCTCCGATCAGCTCGGTCGTGTGAGAGAGAGAGAGAATTAACTTTCATAAATGTCCTGAAGGGGACTAGTCACCCCTTACGGGGGCCAGCCCGGTGGCTCCGCCCATGTGGGGACTGGGAGTCGGAGCTCGCCAGCCACCTTTTGGGCCTTCTGGACGGCCTGGTGTTGAAAGGCCCTGTCGGGCGGGGCTCCTGAGGTGGTTGAACCAGTCGTCCTCGGTAGCAGGGGACCCGAAGCTAGCGTTTAGCATGGGACACTGCCACAGCATGTGACCTAAATCGCACTTTGAATTTTGGCATTTGGGGCATTCTGGCCTTATATCTGGTAGGCATTTGCTGCAGATATAGGGGCTGGGGTAACTGTGCGTTCGCAGCAGTCGAAGCGTTCATTGTTGTGCTTTATTTAGTGTTGAGTGAGGTGAGGGGAATTCCTTTCTAAATAACTTATAGTGCGAGCAAATTTCGTGATATGATAGGAGTGGCTCCCGGTGCGTGTTGGTGTCCCCGGCCAGTGAGCCGGACCGCGACCCCCGGCGGCACGTAAGATCACGCGCGAGGTTATGGGCCAGCTCATTACCGTTGGGGACCCCTGGTTGAACGTTGATCTCTAGCAGTATTTTTTTATAAAGATATGCCAGTCGTGAACCTACACAAGCAGCTAGACAATTGCAAAGATTTGTAAGGTCCAATTACGCTGTTTGGTACTAGAACTTTCACATGATTGCGGGGTAGCCTACCTCGCATCCTATGCTTGTTTCTAAATGCAATGGCGAAAATTTCTGGACTGCCAATTTTCACATGGCAAAGTAATTTAGAAACAGATCAGCAAAAGAGGTACATACATTGGAAATAAGCCTATCTGGAGTAATTTTCGGCAGAGCAATGTTCCCGAAAACGGCGCTTATGATAGTGACCAAGCATTCACGGCAAAACTAGCAAAAACATTGTTTTTCCCTTTGCTGATTAGCTCTAGGAAAGTGCTGCGATAAACCGTGAGTGTTCGAAGTGACCATCGTGCTTATATTTCAATGAAAGCTATTTCAATGAGCCTTCGTGCACTTCAATTTAAGTGCACTTCAAACAAACACCAGTAGGGGAAAATGGCTGATGTCCTGCACTCTGGAACGTCTGCATCGTTTTTCATTGTCATGTTGGTGCGTAAATGTTTGGTTTCAATCGTAGTTTCTTACGAGTATACCTACTTATAAAGCCGTCATAGTGAGCTGTTATACGCATGGGAATGCTGGAATGTGTTGTATCTTACTCGGCTTTTCATTGTTCTCCAAAAGTTCGGACAACTCGAAGACGCCTGTGACTTTAAAGCATTCCATGTGTCAAAATAATTAATTTCGTACTGCATGAGCCTGCCCATAGGAATCTATTTCTTTTATATAATAGCACAGAAACGAGTTTCGGTTAACTTTGGAACTTTTGCGTCAATGCACACTATTCAGAAGCGCAAAAAGTAACAAATGGCCGCTAAACTTGCACAGATGGTGAACGAGGAAGGCTAGTGTTCACTCTGCCACTGTTTACCATCTGTTTCGCAGTTTGGTTATGCCGGAAAGGGGAGTGGACTTTATTCTAAAATATAACACACGTGAATGAGATTCCTTTATATCAAAAAAATTTTTAGAGAAGCATTGTTTGCGCAGTACGTCATATGCACTCTTAGGCCGAAGCCCAGTTCAACACTAGCGAACACAAGTTTCGCAAATACAAATACCGTCATTCCCACAGCGGCACAGCACCCGTTAGGAAATTTGCAGAGATGGTGGCACCAGAATTTCTTCTATGTATTATTGTGAGAAACCCAGGGGTTTCAATCTTCAGTTCCACGATCTATCAATAATAATTAGAATTGTTTGTTCCCTTGCCACAAAAAGTTATCTTAAAACTGGCGTAGGTCTTCCATGATTTCTTCATGAGGTGTGAGAATCACGCTGTACTGCAATTTTTTTATGAAAACGCTACTGCTTCGAACTTTTTCTTGTTTTTTTTCCTCAGAAGGTGGGCTATAGGCCTAGTCAGAAAACTGTTGTGTCCGTTTCCTTTTGCCTCATATCGGTGGCAAGTAACATGACATGTTAGTGTACAATGTTCACATGTCAGAATAAATAAATGCTTAGTTTTTCCTAATCGTTTAACTGATTATAATAACCATTCGTTGTTATAATCAAGCGAGTGAACAGAGAATACTGACCAAGTTTTAGGCTTCTTACTTAGTCCTCTGAAGTTTCAAAGAGCAATTTGTAGTGATAGTTGAGCGATTGAGCGGGGTAAGACTGGCGTACTTTCAAGCTGCTCACACAAGGTTCTACGTAATTTTACTCTGTGACCACGTTTTGCGTAAGCTAACAATTTCATTAAAAATTTTCCCATTAGGATATAACTGCAGCTTTATGATTTTGGCCTAAACTTGAGCTGTATTACAACGTTTATCATAGGACACTGTCATTTGCGTTCATATGCTGCAGGAGTATATCAGCATTAAAGCTGAACTCTCTTCTCTCTTTTGCAACCTTTTCTCCAGGCTCACTGCTGGAATGAGGCTGACGGTTGCCAATTCGTTGGCACCATCGAAGCGGTGTTGCTGCACTACGACCGGGAATGCACCTTTCATGCCGTCCAATGTCGAAACTGTGAACAAAGGCTACTACGAACGGATATTGCAGCACACTACGCTTCCGGGTGCTGCCAGAATGCTTCTTGTGCAAGAAATGCGCAGTCAAACAGGGAAATTAGTTCACCTGCAAGTTTTGAGACGAACGTTGTTCTGGACAAGTTCTCAACACTTGAGAGAAAAATAAACGAAGTTTTGGAAGTATGTAGCGCATCGAACTCTGCCCGTTCGCAGGACATCAGCCATGCAGTAGGCGCCTTTGAGAATACTCTTCAGCGTATAATGGAAGGAATCGAAGAAAACATTTCCACCATGATCACTCGACAACTTACCGCCGGTCTGCAAGAACTGAAGGCCGCGACCACGGTCCTTTGCAGTGATCACCTGGCATCTAGTCAGAGTCAAATGAATGAATTCGTTGAACAGTTGAGGCAGCGCGATGGGTCCCAGATACAGGAGATTGGGTCCGTGCTGAGAGACTCCCAAGTCGAAGTCAAGGAAGAAGTGAAGATCCAGTTAGAGAAAACAGTGTCTCTGCTAATAGCGTCAAAATGCGACGTGAAGCAGAACGTGAGGACCCAGTTAGAGGAGTTTGTTCAAGAGATGAGGAACTGCGTTGGTGTCTTGAAAGAACATGTGAGCAAGGTTGAGGACACTCTATCTTCGAGGCTCACGGACCAACAGCATTCTCTACGAGCAGTGCTTGATTCTTTAAACAAGAATAAAGAATCTATTGAAAGAGAAAAGTCCGTTACCGCTGCAACTATGACAAAAGGAGAGACTCTATGGCACTTCAAGCATGAGTTTTTGCTCAGCCAAGCACTGGAAAGATTGGAACTTCTACGGCAGCAGATCTATCGGCAGAACGAAGAACCGTGGGTTTCGAAAAGTGAATATGATTTTCATGATTGGTTCACCATGGGGACGAAAGATTTCGAAAGTTCAAGTTTTTATGTGACCCTGGAAAATTATAAAAAGATATTCAATTCAGACAGAGTACTCTACATTACGGTAAATCGGTACTACAGGGATGTGTGTATTTACATTACCTTTTCTAGGGGTTTTATGGGCGACAAGTTCTTAGACGTGAGAGTGGATTGCTTAAGGACTTTAGGAAATTCTGGATTCCCCTTCGATGAGATTTTGCAAATGTCGTAAAAAGCAATGGTCGAGAGTTGGTACCTCTTATGTCCTATAATACATATGCGTGTACAAGCTGCTCTAACAAGGCCATTTCGCATTTTCGTAGCCACTTTGAGATAAATCAATTTGATCTTGATGAAGACGGCGTAAAAAAACACGGAAAACTTACGCTGATATTCGATTTTAAATAAGGACTCATCTGACGTCCCCGCGATAACAAAAAAACCTGCGTTTTATATCTTATACTCCAATTATGTACATATTCCGCATGTGAAGAAAACAGTAGGTAAAAAATATAGTGAATTATAGCCCCTGTTTTAGACCGCTAGCGTCTAGGTTACATGCGAAGACATTTCGTCTAAAACTCTAATCATCTGATGCTTCATATTTCCCTTTAATTTTTGTACGTGTTGTGGCGCGTCAACGGGGGGTTCACATTTAGGGAAGCCGTTGTGTGTGTGTGTGTGTGTGTGTGTGTGTGTGTGTGTGTGTGTGTGTGTGTGTGTGTGTGTGTGTGTGTGTGTGTGTGTGTGTGTGTGTGTGTGTGTGTGTGTGTGTGTGTGTGTGTGTGTGTGTGTGTGCAGCCTTATTTATTGACTGACTGGCATATCTAACAGCTAGTAGCAATGAAAGTCCCTTGCAGCATTGTTGCAAGTTCATGGCGTCATCTTCAGTGTGATACAGGTGGTCACAGTGAAGTGTGAAATATGCACGTGCACCTTCACCTGAAAAAAATCTGCGAGTCGTTGAGTCTACTGACGATGGCAAGAATGAGTTTAGCGTTTAGACCACTGACCACGCGCGGGCTTCGAAGGCACTGTTCAATCATGCGATAGTTTAAATTCCATGCCAAACAATTTGCAGGAGGAGCCTCTGAAGTGTGCTAGTTTGTGAAGACGTGCGGACGCTGTTGTGTGAAGTTATTCTAATAAACTGCCATTTGTTGTGCATTGAAACAGTGATACTTCACTTGAACGATTGGAAGGAAGAACTTCTTTGACTGGTTGGTTGCAGCCAACACTAATTAAAAGCCCTACTGGCCGCGCCGGACCACTTGACCGAGTTTTAAAAAGGCTTTTGCACTAGGTGTCGGCTAGCTATAGCAACAGTTCCTTGTTGGTGTTTTAAAGGTTGGCTAGTAAATTTTATGAACACACTTGAATTGTGTGTTTGTGTTTCCTTTGTGTGTTTGCTTCTTTGTGTGTTGCTGATTTATTTCATTTATTTATTCATTTAATATACATCAAAGGCACTCAAGAGAGGGCTTAACATGAGGGAGTCGGGAAACAATAAAGATTTAGTAAAACATCGGTTCTATGGCGTTCCTCAATGTACCTTTGTTTGAATGATCGACGACACTTGAAGATCGTTCCAGTCCCTGGCTGCCTGAGGGAAGAAGGAATGATGATGGGCTGTGGCAAGAGGGGGTAGACGGCCTTGTGGTGACAGGTGCGGGCTGAAGTCCAATGGGCTGGCTGATGGGGGAGTTATGATGAAACGCATGGTAAAAATTTGGTGTACAATAAGAGTCTCAAGTTCTTACGACGTAGGTCAAGGTTACGTAATCCTGCTTTACGTTTAAGGGTAGTAACACTGGTGTGATATGATTAGTCAAAATAGATGAATCTGACTGCATGGTTTTGAATTATTTCAATTGATTTACTTAAGTTACTTTGTGGGGGGTCCCAAATGGCGAATGCGTATTCTAGTTTTGGGCAAATTAGAGTTTTTTAGGCTAGTAATTTTTTTAGGCTAGTAAGGTGCAAGATGCATGTTAGGGCGAAAGTAACCAAGAACTTTGTTAGCATTGTTAGCTAGTTTACTTACATGAGAAGACCAGTTTAGATTCTGTGAAATGTTAACGCCAAGGTGTTTAATACAGCTGAGAGAAGAAACAGTGCAGCCATTATTTATATAGTTAGCAGTGGCAAAGTTCTGGTGTCTGTGGAATGAAACAAGTGCAGTTTCGTTACTATTCAAAACCATGAGCCATTTACTGCACCACTCGCCAAGTTTCAGAAGGCCACGCTGGAGGGTAACTCTGTCTGAAACGTTAGTAATGGGTCGGTATATTACACAGTCATCAACAAAGAGGTGGATGTTAGATGAAATACTATTGGGTAAGTCACTTATGTAAATTAAGAAGAGGAGAGGGCCCAGAACTGTACCCTGTGGTACACCGGAAATGACGTTAGAAAGGGATGAGGACGTGCCATTAGCTTCTACGAAGTGCTGACGGTTAGTGAGAAAGTCTTTAATCCAATTGTAGAGAAGTCGGTTAAGGTTTAATCGAGAGAGCTTTAGTAGTAGGCGGTTGCGGAGAACTTTGTCAAAGGCTTTCTCAAAATATATAAAAATGGCGTCAACTGGTATGTTAAGGTCCACACTTGCGCTTAAGTCATGGATGAATAATGCAAGCTGAGTATCGCATGAGAGTCCTCTTTGGAATCTGTGTTGGTTAGGGTGAAAAACTTAACTAAGACGAGGAATTTAGCCATTTCTGCATGAATTATATGTTCCATTATTTTTTAACAGACGCTGATTGATTTGTGGGGTTTAACGTCCCAAAACCACCGTTTGATTATGAGAGACGCCGTAGTGGAGGGCTCCAGAAATTTTGACCACCTGGGGTTCTTTAACGTGCACCCAAATCTGAGCACACGGGCCTACAACATTTCCGCCTCCATCGGAAATGCAGCCGCCGCAGCCGGGAATCGAACCCGCGACCTGCGGGTCAGCAGCCGAGTACCTTAGCCACTAGACCACCGCGGCGGGGCTTAACAGACGCTGGTAAGGGATATGGGTCGGTAACTAGCTGAACCTGGTTTTGGAACTGGAACTATCTTACCCACTTTCCAGTCATGAAGAACAGTGCCAGATGAGAGTGATTGCTGAAATATATGAGAAAGAATAACACTGGGGATTTCTTTGGTGTTTTTGAGCACCTTAGCATTGACGTTATCGATGCCGCAGGATCAAGTAAGTTTTAACGATTCGATGATTTTCTAGGTGCCTTGAGGTGAAAATATGACATCGGCCATGGGAGGATAGTTGAGGGGAGATACATCAGGGAGGTTATCAATTTGTTCTCTGGTAAAGACAGAAGAAAAAGTAAGGTTTAGTGCTTCAGCTACTTCGTTATACGCGATAGGCTGTCGATTATCATCCAATATTGATATGCACTTGTTTTTGTGTCGTGGGTTAATCCCCTTCCAAATCTGTTTTGGGTTAGTGCGGTGTAAATTGGGCAAGGTTGTTTTATTAAGGAGTCGTTTCGCTTTATCTACAGCAGAGCAGTACAGTTTTGCTGTGGCCTGATATTTTGCCACGCCATGGCATTGTTGGTGCTTTTTGCGGAGCGAAAGTGTCGCTTCTTCTTGTTATTAGGCCTTTTAGGTTCAAGATTAAACCAGCGGGAAGTGCTACGTTCACGAATTTCGATTGCTGGGATGTAAGTGCTGATCAGCTCATGCATTTTTATTTAATCAATAACCAATTTGTTGTAACGGATCTTTCATTAAAATATTTGAATATGAATTGCCAGAATATTTCTCATTCTTTATTATAGCTGATATAGTCACCCTTATCGTATAAGGTGAGCTTTTTTGCTTGTTTTCGTGGGCTGGTTCAGTCTACTTTGGAAAAAACCATTAATGACCTTATGATCGCTGATTCCATCGAGGTATGAAATTGAGGTGATTCTGTCAAAATGGGTGGCTAATACGAGATCAAGTATATTGGCTGAATTTTCGGATTGCCTTGTTGTTGCATTAACAATTTGAGTTAGGGAAAACGTTAAACGTGTATCGCAAAGCAGCTTTCAATGTTTTTTTTTTTTTTTTTCGATGTGACGAAGACGACATCAGACCAATCTATGTTCGCAAAGTTAAAGCCACCGAATAAGACAACTGTGGCATTAGGAAGTGGATTCTTCAGGGATTATAGCGTGCCATGAAACATGGGAATGAGCGTGCTGTCGGAGTCTGGCGGGCGATAGCATAACAGCGCAAACTGTTATGAGATTGATACTCGATTCAAGCGTGGTGCCGTAGTTGTCCGCCGCCGCCAGTGTCCGTAACCACATCGCACGAAATGAGAAAAAAAAACAACCTATTATTAAGTACACAGTGGGGCTCGAACCCGGGTCTGTTGGGTGCCAGCCCAGTATCCTACCACTGAGCTACGCTGTTTTTTTTTCATGGTATATATTAAAGTACTTGGGCAATAAAGACAAAATCAAGCGAACAAAAGTACAATCAAATCGCGAAAGTAAGCGTTCAAGCGTTACTCATAAACACTAAATGGCTAACACAGCGCGAGTTGCTCACATGGAGAGTTCTTCACATCGTGTTATACAAACAAAAAAGGAATGAGGTCAAACAGTTCTCTAAGACGAAGTACCAGTCCGGTCTAAAGTCTAGCTCGTCGTAAATGTTTTTTAGGTGGATAGCCATTTGAATGAAGTGTGCGCTTGAAGAGGTGGTGGGCTCTGC